GTCTTGTCAGAATTTTAGAAACTGCAAACAGACTTTCCGAGAATGCAAATGATATACCCTTTATAGTCTAACAACGGCACTACAGATATTGGAAAAAGTGATTCTCAGTAAAACTTCATATGTCAATAGTAAGTGTAACGCATATTGTATTCCAGGTGGTCACAGTGTTTCACTTGCTCACAGTGTTTCAGTACTTCACCGTAGAAACAAAAAGAGAATCAATGCCAACCCGCACGTCGGCTTGTGGTTTGCTGGGATGAAAGAGAACAGCGTCGAAATACTAAAAAAGAAGGAAATTAAAAAAGGTATATCTGAATATCAAGAGAAACCTACATGGGTACAGGCAACACCTAACTGCTCGTGCGTCCGTGTTCAAGAGGTCGTGGGTCGATTCGGAATCCTCCAGGTGCTTTTATCACCAGCGTGTTTGTGGCGTCTGCATAATTCGAATTTGTTGGCCGTCCCCTCTGATTAGTGATTTCCGCATTTTACTTGATCAATTCAAGATAAATACTGAAGAATAATTTCAGCATAAGAGACCTGGAGCGCGTGTGATTTTAATTCCTATACTTAGGTCCGGGCGATGGACCAAACACCCATCCTAGCATAACCCATCCCATTGACAATATATTCCACAAGCGTTGGAGATCCGGAAGCTACGGCTGTGAGTCCCCTGAGAACTGAGTCACTAAGTATATGACGTGGTGCAAAAAACAAAATTATAGTTATAATAATATTATTATTAGTTAATAATAATAATAAATTGTTCTGATTATATATATTCTAGAACAGAATGATCCTCAAAAATAAATAAAATTATTAATAATTGACCTGATATTGTTAGGTTCCTTTAAATCAGGAAAATCGATGTTATTAATTATCAAATCTGAATAAATAGATCTTTAAGTGAATGCACGTAAAGAAGACTAAGTATGTGGGACTCTAGAATTTTATTAAACAGCAATGGAATGCAGTCCAAGTGAGAATCATTGTATATTAATATCGATTCCTTCAGCCATACTGAAGACTTTAATTTACTCTCAAAGAATCAGATCTTCACGAAAACCTATGGAAACTGATTAATTAGCTTTGCTCGATGTGAATAACTCGAACCGTCAGGAAATTTGTTGGCAATGAGATCAATTAACGTAACTAGTTTCAAGTTACTGACATAATTTGAACTGTGATTAGATAACATGTACAGTTTATATATGCACCATATATATAAGTGGTGCAAGCATAAATAGTTATCTTAACAATAATAATAGTAATATTAATCTGTATATTTAAAACAAAGATTTCCGTTTAAAAATCAATTCGATCATTTTACTGAACGAAATTTTGAAATTTTTGTTTTAAATGAAAAGTAGCCGTCCCCGGATGTGTTTGATCTTTTCCAACGGGTTTATGTTTTAAGTTCTAAATGTTAATAAAATCACAAATTTAATAGAGAAAACGCTTATCTTCCGTCATTCGTTTCTTAATATGTTCTGCGAGTTGCAACCGATCGTCTCTTCATATGGCGCAGTCTATTCTGTGGATATGAGATTATTATTACATTTACAACGTTCCCTGTGAAGCTTTACTACAGAATTTTTACAACCTTTGTCTATACAATCAGGTTCTGTGATCCACTTACCGATTCTTTATCCACAGTGTATTTTTACTGAAGACAATGCTTCTTAAGCACTGCTGCAAAAACAGTTAAAGTCAAGCGCAGCCCAGAATCAACGCTTGATTTAATTCACACAAATACATTGAAACCTTGTTTCTACTATTGATATTACTATTACTATTATTATTATTTTATGAGAGAAGGATGATTGTATTAGTTTTATTTCTCCAGAAAAGATTCAACCTGCGTGTTGATGTCGCAGTATCGCATAGGTGGGTCCTATTCTCACGCCTCCACGCGCTTATTAAAGGCCGTTTTCGAACTCTCCAAGCGGCCTTCGCTGGGTTTCCGGCGGCCGCCGCCAGAGCCCGCGCGCAACGTCCGTCGGCCGCCTGCGTCGGGGCTCAAACTCGGGCCGTTATCTCAGGGTGCCACGGCGGCGCGCCTATTAGCCCATCGACCGCGCGGGTGACACATGGCTTCCGCCCCCGGGGGCGGGGGCGGCGGCGAGGGGAGCTGAATGGCGCATTGTGCTTGCGCGTCTAATGCCGCAATTATCATAATTATACATCATCGCGGAATAATAAAAATGTCACCCGCCCCGGGGCCGCAACGACGGCCGGGAGGTAAGGTAATGTCATGGGAAAGATGCTGTAAAAGCTACTGCTTCTGTTGTGGTGATCCTTACAATGCTCGTGGTCTAAGACATGTTTTGATTTGTCAAAACACTCTCGTATCAGCATATGAAAACATTATTCAGAGAGTATATACATTTTGTCCACAATGATGAGGAAACGAAATGCATTCAAGTATTTCAATGCATGATACAATATGGTGAGTATCGTTCATTTGATTGTCGTCAAAATTTTTAATTGTAATTATTAGAATTATACATCAACATAGAATAATAAAAATGTCACTTGCCCGTGGCCGCTACCACAGTCGGGAGGTAAGCTGACGTAATGGGAAAGCGAGTGCTTCTGTCGTGGTGTTCCTTAAAATGCTCTTGGTCACAGTAAGGTTTTGAATTGTAAGTAAAAGTTTTATTTGTAAGTAAAATGTGTAAAACCACTCTATCAACGCATAGAAACATTATTCAGTGAACTTACAATTTGTCCACGATGATGAAGAAAAGAAATGTATACCAGTATTTCAATGCAGGCTCTCTGATGTAATATGTATCTTTCAATTTGATTGTCACTATTACACAGTTTGATTTTAATCTAAATCATTTTTAAAACTCTAAGAAACGCATGAAAATCTTTCTTAAGAAATTTAATTGACCTCTCTGTTAGTTCAGTGTTCATGTAGTGACCTGAATGAACTTTTATGTCCGCCAATCAAATGTAAATAATCATGAATAAAATTGAAAAAAAGAAACCATCAACAAACAAATATGCGTTTGAATCAGAATAATAATCAAACAAAACATCACAAATGTGAAGAAAACTTACCACTTCCCATGGTGATTCAGCACGAGGCCGAAGCATACGTTCTCTCCGTACCAAAACTACGACAGAAGAAATTATCTAAATTATTCAACACTAAGAGTTTTGTTTAGAAACAAATTCGGGTTTTCAACTCAATTAAATTACATCATTTTTGCTTTAAACGAAAGGTAGTGGTCCCTGGATTTTTTGATGATTGGTATTAATTGGTTTTATCGTATGAACACAAAATTTTAATTATAATTGAAAATGAAAATAACGTGCGCTCATCGCTTACGTCATTTCCAAAACCTACATATAAGACGAACTTTATTTCGTTGTAAAAGTTGCTATAGATGTCCTAAAAACAGGTGATGTTTCGTAGCGGGGAGAAGCGTATGCAATAACGAAGCGAAGATAGGGAGTTAGAAGATTTACTGGTTTTAAATACCAAGATTAGTGAGTGTATACCAACGCAATATCTAGCAGTCGTCTAAAGCATATGTTCTGTTACAAAAAATGTTCAGGGTTTATAATTATTTGTGACACATTACGTTTCTGAATGAAGGGGGATACCAGAATTGTCTACTATGGTCCACTACAAAATACCTATGTCGACGACCAAACACTTCAATTACAATTTCAGAATCATGTTTAATTCTCCTTTTGCAGTTTATAGTGGTTGTGTTGATCCAGAATTTGTAAACCTAAACTAGGGAGTCATTAGCCTTCAAGAATAATTACAAAGTAACATGAAAGAATACCTTCGGGGTTTTCAATTTTCCTTCTGGTGCACATGCAGTTCTTTTCTGTTGTAACTTGCCTACTCTTACTTTTGTGAGCTCGGGTGCAGCTAGTTTGTAGTAATTTCAATGCGGATTGATCTTGTCATTACATTACCAGTAATTTACGAGGGTAGCATAAAGGAGGAGAGCATCGCACATGCGTCTGGCAACACGCTGAGTGCGAAGGGGCTGGAGGCGTATCTAACCAACCCTGCAACCCGGCCCTGCCTACCCGGCGCCGCCGCTCTCACCCCCGCTCGCACCTCTCGCTTGCGCCTTCGGATCCGTTGGTTGGTTCCCAACTCGCGGATTCATTCGCCAAAGGAGCGGGACTACGCAGCAAAGGATGAGGTCGGCGTCATTTGAGAGGAGGGATCTCGGGGGCGCAGCGGAGCTAACGAAAGCCGTCCCCGGAGGGGCAGCAACGGGCGTTGGCCGGCGCGGCCGCGGGCGGGTGGGAGGCCGAGAGGCGCTGGCGGGGCGGCGGGGCGGGGCGGGGCGGTGGCGGGGTCGGGGGCGAAGCAGCCAGCTCGCTCCTCCAGCAAACCGGCAAGCCTTTCTCACGCGCTGCAGGGGTGTGGAGGAGAGAAGAACAGAGGGTGGTGGGGGTGGCAAGGGCGAGGAGGGGGGCGATACACACTACTCCGAAGTACGTTTAAAATATTCACTGCAAAAAAATAACAACAAGAATCAAATAAAGTTAAAAATGAAGATAATTGCATCATGTTGGTAACTTTTTAAATTTTAAGCATGAAACATCGAATGTGTTGCACCAATTTTGTAAGGTACTGATGAAATAATGTAATTTTAACTTCTTATATTGCAGTTCTTGAAATGACTATGTACGCAATATAAGTTGTGAATTGAAAAGCTCGATTTATTCTCGAAACATCAAAGATGCCCCTGCAAAAGAGGTTATACAATTTTCTACGATGTACTCATTCTGTGAGTAAATGTGTAACTACAACACAAACACCAATGCTACATCTCTCATCGAGAGAAAATTAATAACAACCACAAAGGCAAATATTTGCTAGTATTTAATGTGTTTTAAAATTACACTTCTTACAATCGATCTAAACCCTTTTGTTGGCGCCAAGTTTCATTTGAAATCAAAACAAACAAAAAATATCACGCAGCGCACTTTACAGGAGCGCGTTCCAACGTTTCGGGTCACTGTGCGTCGACGGGGGCGGACGAGAGGCCGAGAGCGGCGGTGGAGATGGGGGCGGCGGTGGAAGCGAAGAGGGCGGCGGCGGCACCCGCGGGGCTACGCTCCACGCGCGCTGATCTTTTCTGACATTTGCCACTGACATTTCGGCACCCTCCAGGGGCTGTGCCAACTCCGCCGCCGCCGCCGCCGCCGCCGCCCCGCTCCCCGCGCTGTAGTCCTCGCACGCTCGACGGCTCGCCGCCGCCCTGGCCCTTCGCGAGGGTGAAAGCGAAGGAGGTAGCACGGGATATGCCTCTATTATCTACCACATAAAACTGAACGCATTACAAGGTCGCTACATTTACAGCTTTGAAATAATGAAAATCACGAATCGGAGGTAGCTCGGTGTGGCAACTTATGTCACTGCGGTGCCTCAGACCGGGTTGCACGAGGGTTTGAGACCTGATGGTGGCAGGATTTTCCACGCCAGCTAGAGAGATGTGTCGATTTAAACCTCTGTCTGGAGGAGAATTCTAGCGGCCGACTACTCTGATTTTGTGTTTTTCTGATCACCAGGCGAATGTCGAAGCACTGTCAGCACCGCCAGCTAGAGATGTTTATTAAATATCTTATTTCTCTTGTTTCATATCTCCCTTGCTCCAGGATTACTTGTTTATTTTGAGCATGTCTTAAGCAATTCCTGAAATACATTTCCACGAAACCAGGGGTAAAGGTGCCTACACAAATTTCAAAACAATGAACGTTCAGCAAGAAATATTAATATATCAATGAAAGAATGAGTTTTTTCACCAGCAAAGTAGTTCCATTTCTAAAAGGGCTGACTTTTTCTTTTATAGAAAGTGCTCATTAGTTAAATTGGTCATCTTTAAGAGTTTTTCAAGATATATATCAGAAAATGAATGGCTACAAAACACTTGAATGGAATCCACACGAACTTGTACCAAAGTGCATAATTAGCGATAGAATAAAGGTATTGTCCTGATAGAAAATTAGTAAGAAAAGAAACGCGATAAAGAGAAGTGTTTCATGTACGAAGGGTATATTAAAAATGAAAAAAAATCCGTAAAACTTCCAAGTCCGATGAGGCGACACATACCTCAAGATAAGGATTTTTCCACTCGCCATTTCAGGAACAATTTAAAACATTAGCCCAAATATTACACATGAATGAATAACTCTCACAGAAATGACAAAAAGTACGCACATTATATCTGTTTGAAGTTATGAATTCACACTTTCCGGAGCCAAACTGTTCGCGGTAGAGAGCGAATAAAAATACCTTTTTTAAACACAAACACTGTTTCTCGCGGCGGGAATTAAAATTCTTCCCACGAATTACGCCAGACTTTTACGCGCCCCTTTTACAAGCTACAAACTCGCTAAATTTCACGCTCTTTCAATTTTCAGACGGAGTCGATCATAAATTTGGAAACAGAATTAAGTTAGGCTCAAAATATGTCCCGGAATAACTAACGCATTCTTTTCCTTTTACGCAGCTGGGCTGTGATTTTCGCTCTCCAGTCGCAGAGTTCTTTGATCATATATTTGTTAAAACATGTGGTAGCCAGCAGCTGTAATGAAATATAAAATAAAAGGCCCGGCTCTGTGGAGTTAAATGTACTGTGCTGCAGTCGCGGACTCCTGAGCGGCCACTCTTTTAGGCGCACCCATTCTCTCCCCACCTCTCCCCGTTCCAGCACGTCTCCTGCCCGGCTTTCCCTATCCAAATGACACACCATTTAATGCAGTTTAAATGCAGCGCGGGCAAAAAAAGATAAATTTCCCAAATAAATGGTTCAACATTTACTTTAACGTGGTACAAATTTAAAGGCAGAATCACTTCATCGCTCATTAAGCACAACAGAGGACAGGCCCAGCGGGGGGGAAGGGAGGGGAGCGAGCACGGAAGCGTGAACCCGGCGCGGTGGGGAGAAGTGGGGGCGGGTGGAAGAGGGGCGGTGGAAGGGAGGGGAAAGGGGAGGGCTGGCGACGGGAGCCCTTCAGGTGGAACGAGGCTCATATCCCACGGATCGATACTGGCCGCCATGGCATTCATTCGATGTTCGCGGGTGCGGGGTGCTTTGTAGTGAGCAACGCCCATTTGATCGTTGCTGGTGTAGATCAGCTTTCTGAGCTTCATAGCTTCCTGAGGTCGTAGAGAAATCTAGTTACCTGCGATCAGTCTGTGCGAAGTATTGCAGGTTTGACTCCTGCTCCAAACACTTTGCCTAAGATCTAACTCTGTATTCGCAGATTCAGGATAGGACAAGAAGGTCAAGAAGTAGATTCTAATTTTCACATCTATTTGACGTTTCATGATGTTAGTCAGTAACTTATGATCAAGACTTGCCACAATACATTGGAATTCTCCACCATTCACATGAACGTATCCTGTAAATAGAAACGCGAAGATTCGAATGCACGTGTACATTTAAGTCGTCCCAGAGAGGCAGGCAGAAAGGTAACAATGTACAACAGGATCAATGAGATCAATTTTTAAATGTGTAAGCAATAAGGTAGGAAAAGTGTACGAAGTTGTAATGAAAGGCTGCAAGAAAAAAATTCATACACTTGTAGACGAGCACAAGAAAGTGAAGACAGTGATTAAACAAAAATACTTTCCATTAGTATTCCAACTGGAAATGGAAATTTTTGAAGGTGATTGTGGTGTTCAACTTTTGTTGTCAAGTATTCTATTTTTGTTATGACTATCCTATTGAAGAATTTGTCCCCTACTTTCGCGAGCTCCGTTCAATTTGGTTGTCGAACTTCGACTCTCAATCTGCAGCGGAAGCCCGAAAACATTTCATCGGGTGAGAAATCTTCTCAACAAAAAAAGAGCTTCTCTTATTCTCACGCGGAACATTACAGCAGCATCGTCTATTTATTTCCAAGGTGACAGAACTTGCACGAAGTAATATTCGACATTTCGCGCTTACAAAAGACGGCTTTCACTCGGTGCATTGTCTTGGTAGCGAGAAAGCGCTCCGAGACTAAATGGTTATACTCCAGATTTTGCTCATCGCCATTTCAAACAGCGGCAGATAAGAACTTTTAAGATGAGACCGAGGGGGTGAGGAAAAAGAGGCGGCGGGCGGGTGGAAGACTCTAAAGAGAGAGAGGGAGAGAAGAGAAAATGAAGGACGAGGGGGCGGGCGTTGAGAAGAACAGGAACTGAAGTGGGAGAGGAGGGAAGGGCTGATCACGGGCTGTTTCAAGCGAGCGATGTGATGGAACCAACGTAAACTGTAGTTTAATTGGATCAGAGGAGGAGATGTATAGGAGTAAGCATTACATTCAAGTGCAAACAAAGACTGTGGAGTATGGTAGATATAGCATTCCGAATATGTAAATTACAAATGCATTAACAAAAATCAAAGAAATATAAAAAAAGGTGAAAAATTCAAAAACTTGGCAAATGTGAAGAAGAAAAAAAATTAAGATTATTTTATAGTATCTTTATCTGAATTTATGGAAAAAGTAAAGTTGAACAAAGTTGGGTGATTGATGTAACAATGAAGATAGAAAAGAAGCAAAATGTATCAGGACCGATTATTGACCAGACTGACCGATTATAGATAGAAAAGTGTTCAGGTAAGAAGTGAAAAGGGAAAAAGAGAAGATAGCAAGTAATAATTCAATTAATATAGAAAATCACGATCGAGTAAAGCGTAAGAATAGAGAGAAAAATTCAAAAAATATGAAATAACGAGGGAAGGATAATTTTTATGTAACAAATAATTTAAGGCAAGACATTAGAAAGTATACAACCTTCTAAATACAAACGAATATGCGAAATTTACTTTCGCATACGAATAAAATGCGTTGTAGGCGTTAGTGGCTTAAACAATAACATAATACATGCCAAGGAGATCAACTCAACGGGAAGAAGTGAAGAATGGATATGGCTGAGAGTGTGAAATTGCGTTCATACGAAGCAACAGCAGGCAGAGAAGGACCTGGTGATGCGAGGTGGGGTGAGACGGGGTGAGATGGGGTAAGGTATGGGATGGGTTGGGAGGGTAGGTTAGAGAGGATGGTGTGGCGGGAAAGGGCTGATGAGGTGGGAGTGTATGGGGCGTGGCGTAGAGGTGGTGGGGTGTAGAGGGGTGAGGGAGTGAGGTCAGGTGGTGAGAGTTGGAGTGGATGGTGTGTGGTGGATGTGTATGAGGGAACGTAGCCATGGGCGTGGCCTCAGCGTTACGTGACGTGTCCCGTGTCCGTGACGTGTCGTGTCGTGACGGTGGTCGTGTCGTGACGGTGACGTGCGTGAGAGTGACGTGACGTGAGAGTGGACGTGACGTGAGAGTGAGTGCGTGAGAGTGGACGTGACTGTTGAGAGTGACGTGAGGAGTGAACGTGACGCTGGCGAGTGACGTGAGAAGTGACAATAACATGGGACGTTCCACGATGGCTGAGTGATAATGTGGGGCAATGTGGTGTGGCGTGTTGGGGGGGGGGATAGTGCGAAGTCATAATGTAGCGGGACGGTGCGGGTTGTGGAGAGGCGAGTTGTGATATTGTGTTGCGGCAGGTTGTGATACTGTGTTGCGTTACTAGGCGTGATGTGACTTGGCTTGGGAAGGAGCGGAGCATGGTGGGTCGTGGCGAGACAGAGAGCGGCTGGACAGAGCATGGTGGGTCGCGGGGTGGCTCATGGGTAGGATCGGAATGAGGGTGTTGAGGAGGGGTTGATGAAACGATGGGGATGAATGGGATGTGCGGGTGGCGCGCGGGTGGCGCGCGGGTGGTGCGCGGGTGGTGCGCGGGTGGCGTGTGGGTAGTGCGCGAGTGGCGTGTGGGTGGTGCGCGGGTGGCATGCGGGTGGTGCGCGGTTGGTGAACGGGCGGCTGAAACAGGGACGCAGCGGTGGGGAATCTTTTCAACTGTGCGATGCGGCGCCCATTAGGCAAAGCCATTTCGTCCACTCTTGAAGCTGAATCTACTTTACAATTTACAAGCAAATTATTATTTATCATCCACTCAAAAAGACGTTAAATTCCCTTCCAACTTCTCTCGTAATTTGCCGAAATTTCAGCAATATTTCATAAAGCACGTAACTGTTCAAGAGCACAATGTTGTTCTATATGGGGGAGAAGAATGTAGAGATAAATGAAATTACCGTCATGAGAAAAAAGTCTAACGACATGGGATTAAAATTAAGATTAAGAATACAAAACAAAACGTTAAAAGAACTTGCCAATACAGTTGTTTCAGATTGTTCCATTATGAAAATTTCAAATTTTACGTAATTGATAAAATCAGGATTCCATCTCATATTAAAGCACATTCACTACGATTCCATAAAACTAATTCGTTTTCTCAGTAACTACGATTCTCCATTTAGTGTAATGTTGAATTTAACGACAGCAAAAAATCATCCATTGTTGTTGTAACAACAAAGTACAAATAAAAAGAGTGTTACATTATTTAAGAGCAACAAAAGAACTACAAACGTAGATTCGATACTCAAATTCTGAAAGGCAAAATATATGTTCCAAAACAATTACCGTATTATCAAGTGACGAAATATAGCACACCGCTCTAAAGCATTCACACAAAGGTAAAAAATAGAACGCATAACATTTTGTCTGTCCTTCGTCCACATGGCTGTAGTGTCCTCGCGAAAAGCCCTCGTGGAGATTTATTCGCTCCGTAATTACGTCACAGCGCTGCTTGGCGGGGACGGTGCCCTCGAGCGACAACGCGCGTGGGTGAGAATAACCCCGGAAAGATTGGGCAGCAGGGAAACAGGAGTGGAGACAGGAGGGCATGGAAAAAGGGGGTAAGAGACTGGGGGAACAAATAGCAATCTGGCGGGAAATATAAAAGGAGGAAAATGGCCTGAAGGAGGAGAATTGCACGACAGTGAAGATAGTTCAGAGAAACAGGGCTTATTGATTTGAGGATACGTTTGAAGATGGAAGCAGGTATTGCGTCGGAATTTGAAGTGAGATTAAAACGTTTATTGGAACAAGATTAAGGCAGAGATTGGGATAAAATCGAAGAGAGGTTTGTAATCTTGATAGGATAGAGAATTAAAGTAGTGATTGGAGAAGGGATTAGAGTGGTGAAAGAAGTGGTGATTGGAGCGAGGATTGGAGTGGTGATTGGAGTGGTGATCGAGCGAGCATTGGAGTGGTGATTGGAGCAGGTATTGGAGAGAGGATTTTAGCAGGGATTGGAGTGGTGAGAAGAATGGTGATTATATTAGTTTGAAGTGGTGAGAAGTGTTGACTGGAGCGAGGATTAGAACGGCAATAGAAGTTTTGATTGTAGAGGTGATTGGAGAAGAGGGACAGTGTGTGAAGGTATGATGGAAGCTAAAGAGAGCGCGGTTATGTTGCCAATGCGAGCGAGTGAGGGAAGGCAGTCGAGAGGACGGCAGCGTGAAGCCGGGAAGAGAACTAGGGCGCGGAGAGACAGCGGGAAGTGGCGGAGAGCGAAGTGCTGCGGTTACGGTTCTCCAAAGTCAAGTGAAAAGTGAAGAGTGGAGAAGCGCGTGGTGGCCGGGGAGGGGATAAAAAGCTTTCCATAATTCTCCTGGTAATTACCAACTCGAGCTGCTGCCGCCGCGTGGGTGACGCCGCAACATGGACAGGCAGAGCCCTCGGTGCTGCGGAGCGCTGCGGCTACGGCGGTTAGCAATGGCGTCGGCAGGAGGGTACGTAGAGAGACTTTGAAGAGTAGGGACACGGTTAGCGGTTCAATTAACGGTGGTTTTTGTATTATGTCTTAGTATAATCAATATAATTCTTCTTTACACGCTGCTTGCACGCTTGTTTCACGTTTTAGAGAAAGTATCGTGAAATAAACGGACAGAGGATCTGTATTTTTTTAAACCTTAATTATCTTTAAATAGGAAATTAATTGGGCACTTTTGGTATTCAATAATTTTTTTGAGTTGGGGAGACTTATTTAATTTTATGCCTGAATATGGTTTTTCTTAACAAATCATTTTTTAAGTTGAAGATATAATTTGGCAAGGCGAGAGTTTGTTTAGAGGCAGCGGGTAAAATGGATTGTTAAGAAAAAAGAAAATTATTTCTAATTACTCTATGACTGTATGGACTAGTTTTCAATATATTAAAATAAATTTACAAAAGTATTAATTGTCTATTTTAACAGAAGCATAGCAGTTGAATAGAACTAGTATTCAGAACCTTCATATGTTTCTCTAAATCAAGACAAGAGAATATCCAGGGTATGAATTATAAAACAAAACACTTTTTAGTTTATTAAATATCTCAACAATTCACAGATATTATGAACTTATCTTTAAAGGCACAATTTTTTTTAAGCTACATCATAAAAATCCATTCCCTACCGTTTCAGGACTACCCCTTACTCGTCGAATGTAGACAACACGCAGAACAACCGTGCGCTGCAAATAGTATTCACACAGTATAGTAGAGTGATGTCTTCTGTCCACCACACTTTACAATTTTTCTCAGATTCAACGCTTGAGATAATTCTGTTGCTCACTTATCATTTATTTTCATTATTTCAGATATTTTAAATTTTGTTTTCATCTTTTTGAGATATATCTATGAAGACTTCTTGATTATTATCGTTTATCTGCTGTCAATTTCAAATTCTAATGTTACTAAAACTTTATATTATATATATATATATATATATATATATATATATATATATATATATATATATATATACATATATATACTTCTATTGCCGTTCTAATCCTCGCTCCAGTCAACACTTCTCACCACTTCCATATATACTATATATATATAATATATATATATATATATTATCTATATATATATATATATATATATATATATTGCGAGTTGGCGAAATAGGCAGCCACAATTCGCATGCTGTTTTCATTAACTTGGAACACACATTATCAGAACCAACGCGCGAACGAAGCTCTCCCACTCGGAATTATGAAGTACACTGCTTCAAATGTAGAAACGATTCCAAAATATCCTAAATGATTCAGTTGCTAGAAGCGTAATGTTTTCGAGTTTTATCAAGACGACGAAGTTGGCACAGCTCAGGGTAAATGTGGGTTTTATCTCCGGTTTTCCGTCCATTGATCGCCTTATTTGTGCTTTTATGTTTATAAATCTTTTCGCAAATTACACCGCCTGTATAATCCGGGACTCCTCGAGTCCGCATTACTCTGCGCTAGTATAAATGCAAATGCTCGTCTTTGCCGACTCGTTCTCCCGCCAGCCGCTCTGCACTTCCTCGTGCGTTTGCGCGCGGACTCCGCACTCACCGACTGAAAGGAGACGAAATTACTTGCTACTCACTTATTCCTTCTTCTATTAATTCCTCCTTCTCGCTCGGCTCTTTTCCGTCTCTTTCTGTTTTCGTTCTCGAAAGCCCGTAACGTCTCTGGATAAATTGAAGGGAGGGAACTTTCGACACTCTAAATAAGTCGTTTGAAAGAACAACGCGGCTTCTAGAAATAGTGGCATTAATATTAACATTTAGTTGGCAAAATACTCGTTGTTTATGTAAGCAAACGAGCGGGACTGCACGTGTAAAACGAGAAAGCAATGAACAACAATAAACCGATTATACCCATAAATATTTATACTTTGCACGGTGAGATTTGGACAGCGGAAAATATATTCCAAAACATGACGTCAGTAAATGAGACTAATTGTCAAATAAAGCGCAGTTTCCACGGATTGATACTGCAAATACCGAAATGGTGGTGAAGCCTACAGCTATGCAATGAATCAGATAATATAATACCGGAAATTGCGTTTCAGTGCATAGCTGCATTTAGTGAAGATAAAAAAATCCAAATGCAATCAGGAAGAGAAATATGAATTAGCGCAGTCCATGGCAATGTGTTGTATTTTACATATATGGGCCGATCATTTGAATTAAAAATTGAGTTTAATAGACGATTTTAACTCTCACCGTTCAAAATCGATATGATATTCTTAGTCTTCTTAAAATCAACGCCATGAGTAATAACAATGGAAACTAAACTCAATCCTGAATTATTAGAGACCTTGTAGGTACGAGGTTCCGAAATAGGTGATGGGGCCATTTTGACCATATTTTTATATCATGGAATATTTAAAAGAATGCATTATTTATGTAATTGAATGTATGCTTGTTGGCTATCACAGTACGTTTTGCACGCTGGAAACTGCAGATATATTTTATAATCGTATATAATCATAGTGTGCACTGCACAATGATTAAAATATTCATCATTTTGCACACATATTATTTTTCGACACTTATATAACGTCTTTCCGTAAAAAAATACAATTCTCTTAGAAAAACGGGCAACTAAGTGTTCCTCTGTCTTTTATTCTTCAAATTCCTAAGCGTTTATCTTAAACAGTACGATTGTTTTTGTTTGCTATGATTGAATATAACATACTGCGTTAGAAGATTTGAGAAAAATAATGCGTTGTGAAATAATTGGTGCTACCAATGCTATTTTGAAAGTTGAGGATTTGATACAAACCTAAATTGGACAATTTAATGAAGGACATAATAACCAGGATCCTGAATGATAGCAGTTTAAAAAGATCACAGCATAGTTTGATTCTCCACAATATTGTACTTGATTCTGAGTTGAACAAAGAAAGATGAACATTGATGCATATGAAATGCATTAATTCAATGTGATTACACTCTGAAGCAAAGTGCAATAGTGTATGTAGCTAATACCAACAATTTTAATGGGATTTTCTTCTAATTTTTCGCATTTCAGATAATAAGGTCAAATTTGAAAAAAGTAATGGCGACTAATAATGTTTTGAAAATAGCATCTATAATTCTTGAAATGCTATATATTTCCTGTGTAATTATTTCCATTAAGAGATATTTCATTTTAAAATTCGATATTTCGTCTTTATCATTAAATTATCTCTTATATTTTACAAGTTACAACATAGTATATTTTATCAAAATATTTACGAAACGGAAAAACAAAACCGCGAGAATGCAAGGTACTTCACACTAGATGAAATACCGTACATTTTCAGAGTAACTATCAGACAGAAAAAGGAATCAGTTTTGTGCGCAGTTTACTTCTGCTCTACCCTGCTGATCCGTTCTACCTGTATGACCGCGTCCCTTTCCCATCCACCCGATCTTACTCTCCCCATCTCACCTGCCAATCGTTACTATCCCTATACACTCTCCCCCTCTCACCTGCCCAGTTTCTCTGTCCTTTGTGACTCTGCTCCCCTTCGATATGCTCAATTCGTCCTGCCCCGCATCGACTTGCCATGTTTGCTACAATTCGTTGCTACTGCCATCGCTCATCGTAGCTATGAGCTGTAGTCGACAGATGTATATTTCCACCCAACTTCCAGTAACAATCGTATTTCATTTCTAAACAACAATAATCAACAATACAATCATTAATATAATTGCTCGTCACATAAGGAAATAATTCCTTTTCAAATTCCTTCAAATTAACACAATTACACGTCACAAGAATTAGTAAATGTTCAACAAAATATTTCTGTGTGAAATACGTGTGCATCTATTGAAGATTAAAAATTATTTGAAAATTTGTATAAAATATATAAACACATCATTGAGTCCAAATTAAGAAAGCAAATTCAGAGTATCACATTCCCATTCGCGAGAAGAATTTCCAATTTCTGAAATTACTGCGAGCAATTTATGTTAATTTCTGCATGATGGGCAAGCACACTATATGGTAAAATAAACATTGTAGAAAAATTCACGACCATCTTAAGTTAAATCCTCAATCCATCCTATTAATACAAATCAGAACAATAACAGTAGGTATATTGGACTAAGAATTGGTAATTAATCAAATAGACGAACAAAAATAAAATTTAATAAAAACCTATAATTAACCATATATAGATAATGAAGGTAACAACATTATTACACAATTAATTTTTACATCTCCTACACTTAACTTGATGACTGACTTGACATTGTTGATCATTCTGTCCTCACACATTATATTATTGGCTTTACAATAATTTATATAATACCTACACATACCGTATTATTCACAATGACTTGTATCACGTTCATTGCACCAAAATTTGCACTGTGTTACTCAAAAGAATACAGTAACTGATATTAACATGATATTAATTATATTTTATTAATTGACTTAATTTTCTTTATCAACGCGAATATTATCAATGTTTTGTAAAACAACATTTAACTCCAATGAATGACTGAATACTTCTTGATTCACTCTCCACCCTCCAATAAAATAACAAGTAGAATTTTGACTTTTTGCGTCAACCAGGGAATATCCGTATCACGGAATACTAAATCAAGGGAAATTCGGATAACTTGTATTTAAAATATTAATTATAATATATTTGAGAAAACTCATTTTGTTGCACAGATTGCTAATAAAACTAAAGGTTCTCACAACTGTTTAAATAGAGAAATTGTCAAGATTTAAGTGGCGCTGAGCATATCCAAACCAAGTTTCTCCCACCATCGTGGCACTGCCCTAGTCAGGACAAGCTTGAAGCTCCCTGCATGTGCGGCAGTGTAGTGCATGAAAATGCAAGTAAGACGATAGAACAAAGAAGAGGAACGAAAGATCGCGTGCGGCCCATGGTCTGTTTGTTACTGCCCCGGCATTCGCCTATCGTTCATCGGAGAAACCACGATAATCTACCGATCAGAGCTGCCGGATGCTAGAATCTTCTCCAGAGAGCGGCTGAATTCGATTGAGCTATCTCCTAGTTTCGAAAATCCCTCCCTATCGTCAAGACTCACAACCCTAGGACTTCCCGGTCAGAGACATCGCAGTGGCATTAATTGACGCCCCGAGTCACCTCACCGCCGGTGGCAAGGTGGAGGAAGAGGGTTGAGAGTCGAGCGGTCTGGGAGAGCAGTGAGGAGCGCGAGGAGACGGGGTGGGGATGGGGGTGGGGGGGTGGCGGAGCTCTCGCGTGAGCTGCGATGAGCGCCCGCGGCGAGCGTCTATTGATTCCGCGCCTCCCCGCCGTGCTTCGCTCGCTCCGCCCGCCCACGGAGCTTCCCCCCTCCCCGACGCCCGCCACCTGCCAAGTAGCTCCTCCTGCGATTACGCAGCAGAATTCGCAGTGGCGATATACGCGCAATTGCTTACTGTTGGTTGGCGGGTGTAAACTGTTGCAAGCGTGAACTAGAGACGGGTGTGCAGCCCTGGATGTTGATCCTCTGTTATCGTAACGTTATCCTATGGAATTCTACCCTACGTTGCTTGTAACCTAAAAAGTACTATACATGATCATCTTTATGAATCGTATTTTATGCCATTTGAACTTCTTCTTTACATATCCTACACTTTAGCGTTTGTTCGTCATTCGAACAAGTATCATACATTTGAAATTGCTTTATGCTCTCTTCTCTACGTTTGAAGGGGTTGTACATGCCCCTTACTTAAATTTTATCTTCTTCATAATACTATCTTTAAAAACATCGTGTAAGAAATATTAAACGAAAACATTTTTAAAATCATTTGTACACTGAAATGCATTCATCCAGTTGTTTTACTGCCGCCTTCCTCTTCATTGTTTCTCTTCGGTTGTAGATAGTACATACGGAAATAAAATTTCTTAGATAAAATCAATGTGTGTGTCACTGAGTTATTTTTATGGCTGGGGGAGTGAATTTTACGAAGACGTCTGTATTGATGGATGTGTATATTGATAGATATCAACAATCGTACAAATACGTATGTTTGTACGGAACGTATGTACATATAGAAGGTTTCAGAATCTGAGTACACACTTTCCAATTAATATTTAGTAATGTGACTCCAATTTTACTGTCTTTTCTTTAAGAAAAATCCTCTAACACGAAGTGTCACCAGAATCTATGTAGTGTGAGTCATTGATACCGAAAAAGTTTTGAAGGCAAAACGTCTGTTCATTTGTCAACTCCAGTGTATAATAGCCAAATTTCTTCAAACGTTGTTATTACTCTATCGATTGGAATGAACGAGTTTCGATAGGATATTTTGATTTTTGAGGATAGTTCACATAAAACCTTAAAAATATATTCAAATTGTTCTAAAAATGACACCAAATTTTTTGATCAAATTTGTATTCGAATAGCGTAAAGAACTATTAAATTAAGAGAATGGTGCAGATGACTATGTTCGTTGAATTAACAGATACTTTGAAAAATACAAAAGGAGCATTTTTTGGTCATCTTCCAACAAATACAACATTGAAGATACATATTTTTTCTTTAATGAAATCTGTTTCTTAAAGATGGATCTTTAAGTAATTTCACGTTCAATTATTCGAAGATATCAGTAGTTTTCGTGTAATGTGACGCGAATTAAAAGCAATTTTTTAATTTTTTTAAAAAATTGCACTTTTCAAAACTTTTTCTTTATTTTTTGCATGGATGGAAGAATAAATGCTTCAAAGAATGCCGCGAGTCCCATTTTTGATGAACTCTCTAAATTTTCGAAAGTTGCAAATTAGAAACAATGTAAAAAAGTATGTGATGTTGTAGAACCTGTAGATTTAAATTAATTTTGTCACGACTAAAGGAAGAACACACAGTAAAAGTACGTTTTTCATTGAAGCTTTGAATTTTCGTCAAAAGCAAAATAATGGTTATTCGATCCTATCCTTCATTTTCAATACTGAAGCTGGAAATTTATTTCTTACTACAATCCATTATATAATATTAGATTCTGAAATCATTCCATGTACAGGTATTTCAAAACTTTAGGAGTTTTTGCTAATTGAGTAAAATATTTACAAAATATATTAAAATGTATATTTTACAAAATATATTAACAAAATTTTCTCAAAAATAGAATATGTGAAGTTTTTTACTTCCATTTCCTTCAACACTTTACTATTCTGGTAACCCAGAAAAGAATTCAATCTCTCACGAACATTTGGGCCCTATTTGTACTCGACTAAAGAAATACTTCCCGGAATGAATCAATGTCGGCTATCTTTGCATAAGATTCAATCAACACCAGTTAATCTCCCATCTAAGTTTAGCAGCGAGCAGGTTGCAGTAACTTTGAGGCCAGAACCGGAGGCGGAAATGGCAAGAAGGGCGGTGAGATGGGCGTGGAAAGCACGAGGTAAGGTTTTAAATAGAAAAAATAAACGCGAGACGAGGTGTGACTGGTGTTGGAAGGAATGTAGAAGTGAATGGGACGAAACATTTCTAGTAAACACTGAAAGATGATGGAAGGAGGAAGGGTAGAGAAAGGATGGAGAAAAGGAAAGTGGGCGCAATATAATTATGGGGGAGTGAGGGACAGAAAAGTGGAACGAAGAAGGGAGATGAGTCAGACGCACAGGAAGGGTGGGGAAATGGGAAAGTAAAAATGAGAGGAATGAGTAGTAAAGGATAGAACAAAGTAGTTCGATTGTATTTCCTTGTATCCTTTACTCCTCATTCATCTCATTTTTCCTTTCCCTTTTGTGGCGAGGATGAAAAGGAAGGGGGACAGCAGGGACTGGAGAAACGAGCGGAGAAAGTCAATGAGATCGAGAAAGGAGCGTGATTAGGTGCAAAGAAGCAGCAGCAGGATGCAGGCAGCAGCAGGATGCAGGAGTGCAGGATGAGTGATGGAAATGAAGAGAAGAAACGGGGAAGCAAGGGAAAGAAGGGTGAGAGCGCAAATGGGAAAAAGCGTGGAAGGAAAAGACACAAGTGAGAAGTAAATACTAGGTGAGAGATGGAAAAGAGGAATGGGAAGTGACGGGGAGTCGAATGAAAAGGAGAGGTAGGGAGGCGGCAAAGGGACTGGGGAGGCGAGCAGAGCAAAGGAAAAAGAGCGCGGAAAGAAAAAGGACGAAGAGTGAAGGAAAGGACGAGGGAATCGGCCGGGGCGGCGGGGCCTATTCCGGACGGAGGACGCAGGCGCTTGACGTATGGGTCCGGCGCACGAGTGCAACGCTGGTTAATCTAAGTCGGGCGGGCCATAGAGCCGGGCGTCGCCCTCCAAACCTCGCTGCACGAGAACTCCTCTTTACTCTGTGGCACACGTCACGCATCCCGTCCGCGCGCAACGGTCCTCGCTGGAAGATATATGGAGACGGAATAATCTTGCTTTCCGCAGTTAGGACCACCCCTTCTTCGCTTGTCACTGACACTACGTTTGGTAGCTCTGAATTGGCACGTGCTGAGTTTGTAATCAAGATCATTGCTAACTTGTTCATTTAAAGAAAAAAATTGCACAATATCAACAGCTTATGCCCAAAAACAGTTTTGGTGATACTGATTCATTGAAAAAATTGTACAACCAGATTTTAGAAATAGGATCTATTCGG